CCGGTGAATGGTCTTGGCCCCTTTGTCAAATATCAGGTGGCTGAAATTGCATGTACTCATATTTGGGTCCTCAATTTTGTTCCATTGATCTATGGGTCTATTTTTTTCTGCCAGTACCATGTTGTTTTTATGACAATAGCTCTGTAATACATCTTAAAATATGATGGGGATTTTGATTGGCATTGCATTGAATCTATAAATGGATTTTGGTAGGATGGTCATTTTCACAATATTAATTCTTCCAATCATGGGCATGGGAGTTCCTTCAATCTTCTCATGTCTTCTTAGTCTCTTTTTTAAAAGATTTAAATTTTTCATTGTAGAGGTCTTTAATGTCTTTGGTCAGGCTTATTCTGAAATTGTTTTTGCAGCTATTGTGAAGGGGAGTGTTTTCATGTGCTCTTTCTCGCATTGCTTGTTATTGGTATATAGAAAGGCTACACTTTTGTAGGTTAATATTTTTAAGGAAACTCTGACTTTAAGGAAACTGTTGTGCTGGATAGCTTTAGTGTCAACTTGACACATCTGTGTAGAGGGAGCCTCAATTGGGAAATTGCCTCCATTCGACTGGCCTGTGGCCATGTCTGTGGGGCATCTTTTTGATTATTGAGAGATGTTGGAGGGCCCAGCCCACTGTGGGTGGTGCCTGCCCTGAGCAGGTGGGCCTATGTTGTATAAGAAAGCAGGTTGAGCTGGTGGGGGCCGGAGGAGCAAGCTAGTAAGCAGTGTTCCTCTATGGCTTGTGCTTCAGCTCCTGCCTCCAGATTCCTGCCCTGAGTTCCTACCTTGGGTTCCCTGTTGAACTGTGACTGGGAAGATGTAAGCTGAATAAACCCTTTCCTCCCCAAGTTGGTATTGGTCAGAGTATTTTGTTACAGCAATGGAGAAAACAAACTAGAAGAGATATAAATAGATATTTCTGCATTTTCAATATGTATTTCCTTGATAATTAATAATATTGAACACATTTTCAAATGTTTATTGGACATTTTTAGATTGTCTTTGGAGAAAAGGCTAATCAAGTCTGTTGCCTATTTTTAATCACGTTTTTTTTTGTTGTTGTTCAGGAGGGTTTTTTTTTATTCTGGATATTAACTTCTGGTTAGATATATGATTTGAAAATACTTTCTCCTTTTCAATAGATCATCTTTTTACTCTGTTGCCTGTATTTGTTTATTGTCAGAGTCTTTTTGCTGCTGCTGTTGGTTTTTTGACATAAGCTGGCCTCTGACTTTCAGTTCTCCTGCTTCAGCCTCCTGGGATTACAGACATGTAGGTGCCACTACACCTGACTAGTTTTGTCATTTGATAACCCAGAATTGTGATGCAGTCCCATTTGTCTATTTTTGGTTTGTTGATTGTGCTTTTGGTGGCCTAGCCATTAATCATTGCCATAATGCAGGTTTTTATAGCAAAAAGTCTGCTGTGTTATTTCCCTGAGAAAGGAATTAGCTTGTTTTCTTCTGTACAGCAGCCTTGCTAATAATAATACTTGTTTTTTTTGTTTTTTTGTTTTTTTTTTTTACCCTTTCTGTCTCCCCATATCCCTTCTCACTGGCTGCCTTGAGCCTACCATATCATCCTTTTTTTAAAAAAAGCTCCTTTGGTTCCCTCCTTTGTGTCTTCCTTTGTTTACTGATTTATTTATATATCAGAAGGTTGTATGGGAAGCAGGGGTCGGAGGGACACTAATGAGGGATAAATGAAGTAGTGGGGAATATAAAAAATAACATCACGGCCTGGAGAGATGGCTCAGTGGTTAAGAGCACTGGCTGTACTTGCAGAAGACTCGGGTTCAAATCACAGCACCCACATGGTGGCTAACATTTCTCCATAACTCAAGTTCCAGGGGGGATCCGATGCCCTCTTTGATGTCTGCCGGCATTGCACAACATATGTGCACTTACATACGTGGAGGCATAACATGCATACACATAAAATAAAACAAAATAAAAAAATAACATCACATGTGTATGCATTACACACCCACACGCATTTGAATTTACACAGATAAGCAAACTTGTTCTCTTCAAAGGAATTGTACTTCAATAATCTACATTTATTTTGACTGTGTTGCCCTTATTCAGAATATTATGGTACCAGAGAGGAGATGGGATTTTTTTTTCTTTAGAATTGCCTTAGGGCGGGCCTCTTGATGCTTGCTACAGGCTGTGTTCTTACACTGACTCTATAGAAAGAGGCAGCAGAACAAACCTGTCTCATGTACACCTCAGCCCAGGTCACTGTGCCTGATCTGTATTGTGAATGTGGAGACAAGGATTTAAAAAAAAAAAGAATTGTCTTAAAACCAACTTGCAAAAAACAAAACAAAACAAAACAAACAAAAAAAATCAGAAAATTTATTATCATTTCAATGGGTTTTGCAGACAGATCTGAGTTTGAATTACAGCACCTATACTTAAGTTTTATGATGAATATCAAAGCACTTCCCTTCTTATCAAGTAGGATATGAGTGTCTAGCATCTACCATGTGGTAAATTCAGGTTAAGAATCCTTAGTTACATTGCAGGGCATGGAGGCACATGCCTCTAATCCCAGCAATTGGGAGGGAGAGGCAGGCAGATCTCTGTGTTCGAGGCCAGCACAATCTATATAGGGAGTTCCATGCCAGCTGGGACTACAGGAAGACCCTGTCTCCCTGTCTCAAAAAGACCAAAAAAAAAAAAAAAAAGAGAGAGAGAGAGAGAATCCTTAGTTACATAGCTAATTTAAAATCGGTTTGAGACTCTGTCTCAAAAATAAATGAATATTTAGATAGATAAATGGACAAATGAGCAAATTTTTTAAAGCTGAATTAAAAATAATCTTTCGGTTTTATTTATTTGTATTTTATATGTATGAGTGTATTGCTTGCATGTAAGTATACCCGTATCATGCAGTGCCCACGGAGGAGAGAAGAGGGCGTCAGATCCCCTGGAAGAGTCGTTAGCCACCATGTGGTTTCTGGGCCTTCTGCAAGAATAGCCAGTGCTCTTTACCACTGAGCCATCTCTCCAGCCTCAATCATTTTTAATGATAGAAATATTTTTATTCTTTAATGTAATCATATTCATGACTCCCCCCCGCCAACCACAAAGGAATCTCTTATTTAAAAATTTTAGGACAAGAGTATTTTAGATTTTTCTTCCAGATTTTGGAATATTTACACAGACTTTAGTCATTTATTGCACTGGTAATAGTGAGGCTGTTTATAAGCTTAATCTCAGATTGTGTAAGAAATAAAGCACCTGAGTCATATCATGCACCCTATTCATTGGCAAGGACTGCCATAACAAAGTATGGAGGATGGGGTGGATTAAACACCACCAGCAAGTTAGGGTTATCATTAAAGATGACCTAACATGGCTGCTTAGGATTCTCATTTGGGAATTAGAAGTGCAATTAATATTTATTCAGCGTATTCTGTGTGCCAGGTACTACATTAAAATTTTTGCGTATGGTATTCTCATTTAAATTTTAGAAGCCCTCAAATGAATCCTATGTTGCAGCCATTTTTCTGTCAGCCAAAGAAAATGTAGCCCTGAAATAGTTAAATGCAATTAGCAAGAGATTTTTGAAGAGGGGTTTTCCTTACTACTTCACACCAATCTTTCCGTCGGTAAGATTTGGGAACATGGTTTCTTATGTTTATATGTTTTTCTCATGCATATTTTTTGGGTAAAAGAATGCCTTCTCATTGGTAGCTTAACGTATTTTTTTTACCCTATAACATGAGAGTCATATATAGGGCACTTAGTTTTAGCATATCTTTTTGTCTTTGTTTTTATATTTTTTAGACTAGTGCATAAAATGAGTTTCATCATAACATTTTCATACATATGTAGCATTGTACTTGCTCGTCCCCCCGTTACTTTCCCTGCCCCTTCCTTCTGCGTGTCCCCTCCCTTGATAGTCTCCCTTCTGCTTTCATGTCACACGTACATATATTTAAATCTAGAATCTGCATATGAGAGAAAATGTGATATTTATCTTTGGTTTAACAAAAAGTTCATCTTTTCATTGGGATATGCAGAAAATTCCAGCGACAACAGCCTTACCAGTCACTCACTTTATTAATGCTTTAAAGCTCATGGTAGTAAGTATTGCAGTTACCAGCTTCAGATATCATTTAAGGATCAGGGAATTATTTGTAATACATTTTGACCCAGAATAAACTGTTAATTAATAATCATTCCTGGGGAAAACCCCAATCAATATAGGTTGCTAACAAGTCCTCTACTTGGCACTGTATGAAACAGCATGCGAACATTCCCTGTTACTTGCATTTTTTGTTGTTGTTGTTGCAGTTGTTTTTTGTTTTGAAGCAGGATCTCTCTATAGCCCCAGCTGGCCTGGAACTCACTGTATAGACTATGCTGGCCTCAATCTTCCCAGAGATTCACCTGCCTCTGCCTCCCTGAGTGCTGGGATTAAAGGGGTGCACCACCACACCCAGCTGTAACCTGTGTTTTCAAGTCCAAGTTCCCATATTTAATCTGGGAGAGCAATTGTAGGTCTGAGCTTATACTTGGGAAAGTTGCCTTGTCATCTTCTACCTAAGGACTCCACACATGTTTAAAAAGAAAAAGGCCTATTTTCATTTAGGAAACCGATTTTCCTGTTGATTCAACCTCTTGTGTATTAAGAGTGTGTATTAAGAGATTTCCCATAAATTCATTCATTAGACTGTTACCCTTGACATAGGGCATTGATCAGAAAGAAACAGATTGTTCAGTTTCCAGTTGTTCAGATTTCTCAGGACAAATTTCAAAGGGTCACAAGGGCCACCAAATGAAGCCTATGCAACTCCCTTATAAAGATTGAAGGGTAGCAATTTGCATTTTATTAAATACTGTCAGTAAGGTAGTTTCAGACAATGCTTTCCATAATACTGAAGCATTATTCTTGGTGTGTATCAAAACCTTTGCAGTGTTACACAGCTGATGCTTAAGCAATACTGAGAGGAGACTGTTAAACCTTCACAACCTGGAAGTTTTAAAGAAAGGTATTTGTGAGGCTGGAGAGATTGCTCAGTAGGTAAGAGCACTGATTGCTCTTCCAGCAGACTGGTTTGGTTTCCAGCACCCACATGGCAGCTAACAACCATTGGTAACTCCAGTTTCAAGGAATCCAATGCCTTCTTCTGTTCTCCATGGGCATTGCACACACAAGTGCACTTTACCTATATGCACAGAAAACATCCGTGCATATAAAATAAAAACAAATAAGTTTTTAAAAATTTAAAAAGGCATTTGTGTGGTGGGTTTGGGAGTTAGATGACCTGTACTTTATCCCTACTTTGCTGCTTTCTAGCTGGGGTACCTGTAGGCAAATCATGTGATTTCTTGGGATTTAGGACCTGGTAAGGATAAGGAAGAAAAAGAGGAGAAAGCCTGTGAGGTTGCTCGGGTAAAGGTGCTTGCTGCCAATCTTGACAGCCTGCATTCAATTCTCAGGAGTGGTGGCAGGAGAGAACTGACTCTGGAAAGTTGGCTTTTGATCTCTCTCTCTCTCTCTCTCTCTCTCTCTCTCTCTCTGTGTCTGTCTCTCTCTGAATGTAATAAAAATATAGAAAAAAAAAAGGAGAACGGGCTATAGGACAGGTGTCATGGTGTACTCAGTACATGATTGCAAGATGACCTGGCTCTACCTCTGGTAGACTGATGTTTGATAAGACAAGAGGTAAGGTGGTCTCCAACCATAATGATCAGTTTAGTTCAACCTGAATGAAAAAGTCATTTAAGATAGAGATAAGTAGATGGTTGAGGAAGGTTGATCTCAGGGATTGAGGACTACAACCATGAGGAATTTAGATTTTGTTCTATAGATATTAGGGAGTTACAGAAGGTTGTGTAAGCAGGGCACCAACATGAGCTAGGTCCAAACTCTACTACTACCTGCATGACCTTGGTCTTAAGCAGGTCACCAACCTTTTCTGAACATGATAGTCCTCTTTGAAAACAGAAGAGTTGAGCTAGATAATCTTGAACATTGCTTTCCTTTCAAAAATTCTGTGAGTTTATAAAAGGATTTTATATTTCTGTGATTTTATTAAAGGATCATAGATTTCTTGAAACTTTGTCTCTATAGTGGATCTTTTATCCTAGCAGCAACTGGAGTCCTAGTCATAGATAAAAGCTCAATTGTATCACCACTTCAGGGAGGGTACAGGATACTCTATATGCTTTCAATTGCTTTCTAATAACACATTGTATTAAATGCTTTGTTGAAACAATGAAGATTTTTGTCAGGAGACAAGGGCTACCTGGAAGCGATGCTTAGAATTTATTTCAATACTAAGTGCAAAACTTTACTCAAATTATTTTTCATCTTCCTCATTTAGTTCCTGTCTGCTTTTGTTGTTTCTTGCTGTTTAGGAATTTAGAAGCAATTGCGGGTTGATACTTTTATCATGGATTTTCCTTAATAAGAACATTCTGAGGATGAGGATGAAGCTCAGTTGATAGAGTGCTTACCCATCATGTATGAAGCCCGGGGTTTGATTCCCCAGCACCATGTAAAATGGGTGTGGTGATGCACACCTGTAATCCCAGCACTGGAGATGTGGAAGCAGGAGGAAGTTCAAGGTCTTCCTGAGCCATTTAGTGAGCTCTAGGTCAGTCTGAGATATATGAGACTCTGTGACAGGGGAGGAGGAGGAAGAGGAGAGAGAGAGAGAGAGAGAGAGAGAGAGAGAGAGAGAGAGAGAGAGAGAGAGATAGAGAGAGAGAGAGAGAGAGAGAGTTGTCGTCTACCTGAAGCAGTCCATGAAATAAGAATTAGGGTGTACATAATCATAATTTATTTGGGAAGTGATCATAGGAAGCTTCAGAAGAGAGAGAATGTATGATAGGGAAAGGAAAAATACTATAGATGTAGAAGACATGTGAAGACACAAACTGGGTGTCTGGAAAACTGGAGCTCTACTCGATGTGGCAGAAACATTATAGGTGTCCTACCCCAAGGGAGAGGAATCTGTCAATCATACACCAGTTCCCACCAATCACTGGTTTCACACCATCCAGGAGATGGCAGTGGCAGGGGCATTAGGCCTTATCAAGCCTGTGTGCACAGATGAGTGCTGGTGGGATATGTGCAGGACTCTAAGTGTCTGCTACCTACTGTTGTTGGAGTTGGTTTTATATCTTTAATGCCTCTTGTTTTCACCAGTTAGTCTAAAAAAAGTGTTGTTTCTTTAAGCATATGTTTGAGTGTCTAGTGAATGAGTGCCCAGAAAACTTTTAGTGGTGCATCTCTGGGTTATACACACATACATTGA